GCTCACTGCCATTTCATATATAGTTTGATTACGTTGGTTTGTATCTTACTACATCGAGGGCTCGTACACTCAACAGCACACAGAAAAATGCACAGAAAACACACAAAAAAAACAAAAAAAACACATGCACGTTAAAACAACTTGATTTTTTGTTTAATGTGCTGTGCTGTGATTTAGAAAGGCTTTTTTTTTTCAAATTTGCAACACTAAAAAAATAATTAACAAAATAAAGAAAAACAAAAGTTCAAAGTTAAATAGTTCGAAAAATAAACAAAAAAATCAACAAATTGGGACTGAGTAAGATTAGGACTGATTTGAGTAAGCTAAGAGTTAATAGGGGTTAAATAGGGACACATTACATTTTATGTAAAAAACAAAACAAATCAAAAACGTTTTTTTAACTTATCAAATTGCTTAACCACTTGCTGACTGGGGTGTTAAAGCGTCTTCCTGTCCAGGCCATTTTTCAGTATTCAGAGCTGCGTTACTTTGACTGACATTTATTGAGCTGTATTGAAATGAATTTAAAAGAGAACTATGGGGTAAGTGTTTTTCCCCAGGGTTCTCTTAAGGGTCACGGGAGGACATAAACTAGCGTCCTCCCGTGACCCAAAGCTCAGCATTTTACGAGCTACAGCTTGCGGTATACTGAGACCCCGCAACCAGGACGGATCCCAACATTGCTGTCCAGATCGTGAATGACAGCTGGCTCTGCCTATCTAGAAGCAGAGCCAGCGATGCCTGCCCCCTCCCCGTCTGTTCCTCCAGTCAGTGCTGGAGGATCGGAGGGGGGAATCCCTGCCGGGAGCGGTGACTGACAGTCACCGCTCACTGCAGGAAGATGATCGAGAAGTGAGTGAGCGACGGTATGCATTCGCTCACTTCCCGATCTATTGAGCCGACGTGTGACAGTTTCTTTGTTACAGGTCGGCTCGAACTATGAGGATAAGTGATTTTCACTCACCTCATAGTTCTCCTTTAATATCATATGGGGACAGATAGAGATTTATTTTGGTGGTATTTAATCATCACTGGGGATTTTCATTTTTTACTATATAAAGAAAAAAAAGTACCAAAAATTTGGGGGAAAAAACTGTTTTCCCTACATTATGTTATCAAACATTTATTATTACCCAATTTGATAAAATCATTGGTAAACATGTCAAGCCTTAAAATTGAGTGCGCCTGCGAAATCGCAAAAAACCTACCATACCCAAAATTGCCCATGGGCTATGCTTTAAAAGCTTAAGGGAAATGAAGGAGATATTTTTGGGAAGGTGGGGTTGCTGGGAGGGCAATGGAGGAGATATTTCCTCTGTGGGAGGGGATGTTTTATTGGGGAAGATTTTTGCTGGGAGGGTTTCTTTGATGGGAGATTTGAGGGGATTTAGGTCAGGGCAGGTTTTCACTGGGAAGGATCTTTGCAGGGGGATTTTTTGGGGGGCAGTGGAGAGAGTTTTGCTGGGAGGGGACTTATGCCTCAGTTTCAGCACTCTGTGCATTGTGTTATATAGTCCTGGTCTCTGCACTCTATATGCTGAAAGTGCAGCACAGCATATAGAGTTTAGTAATCCGAAGTATGTAATGTATGTTACGGGGTACAGAGGGCGGTGCAGAGGGCAGTGTTTCTTTTTTAAGGTAAACTAGGACAAAGCATCAGCTGTATGTGTTATGTCAAGCAACATTTCATATTCACTAGTAAAAGTGAACTCATGTCAGTGAAACCAAGTGTGGCGGAATTGCTCTTCTCGGTGTTGAAGAGACAAGGTAAGGACTTCCATATCCTTGATATCATTAGCCTTTTGGAGCCAGAGTGAAATCGAAGGAGGCGTTGATTGTTTCCAGAGAAGAGGAATACAGGATTTCGCTGCATTAAGAGGCTGAATAAGCAATTACTTTCAATAGCGTCGTTTCAACGTGTCTTGAAGGTGTAGCAGGTATCTAGCCGGGTCGGAACCCAAATCCGTGCCAGTGAGTTGGAGGATGATATTGTGAACCTTTTTCCAAAAAGGGGCAGATGATCGGGCAGGTTCAGAAGATATGCGGTAGAGAACCAATGTCCTGGCCACATCACCAAACAGTCTATGGAGTTTTTGTGGCACCATGTACCAGCATGTAAGTAACTTATATCCCACTCAGTATAGAGGATTCCTTTTCATTTACAGTATAACAGGGGCTGTTATAGAGATAAAAGAGATTAAGGGATCTGTGTCCTCAATCTCTTTTTCTATTTTAACAGGGAAATATCAGGCATCTGTTTAGACCCCTAATATTTCCCCGAAGCCCCTAAAAGTAAAGTAAAAAATACAAATATTTAATTAAAAAAATGAATTAATAAAAAATAAATATAAAAAAATTAAAACGTTTTTTAAAAATAAATAAAAATAAAATATTTTTAAAAAATTGAAAAAATTAAAATAAAAAAATTTTCGGTTTCGACCTGAGAATTTTCTTAAATTTCGGTTTTGTTTCAGTTTTGACATTTCCATTTTGGTGCACCTCTAGTTTAGATACACTTTGGATAGAGAGCCGTGTTTTGATATGCCTGTCTGACCTCTTCTTTACATGTAAGAACAAAAGAAATTGTGTCCTGAGAATGGTTTTGATGTTTGCAAATAGATGGACATAGTCACAATAATGAGAGCTATATGTATGAAGACTTGAACAGTGGATAATGGTGGCCTTGTGTCCCTCAATCAACATCTCTCAAGGAGCTGCTAGAAAAAATCCCAGACTATTCTATTATTGTCCTCTAATACTACAGTGCGCTGTGTCCATGTGACAGCGCTGCATATTTTCCACTCCCAGAATCCTTTACTGCAAGCCATTTTCACTTTGTTTTGTCATGGTAAAAAGGTGACTCTTGCCTTATCAGTATTCCATAGCAATAGCTCAATGGTTATGGTGTTTATTATCCAAGCAATCATGATGTATCCTCATTCATTTTATCATCTTAGTTTAAACTATGTAAAGTATGTTAGGGCTGATCAATGACATAATTCCCTGAGACTGTTCTCTACCTCTTTGACAATATCCCTGCCAGACCTAATGCACGATAGCACAGGATTCATGGGGGAGCAAATCATGCATGAATTTCTTATGATTCCATGTGTAGCAGATGTGAAAGGGGCTATTCTAGCCAACAATTGTGGGAATTGTTAATGCAACGAACAATAGCTCATGTATCCCTAGCCTAAAGTTGCCCATTGTTGCCCAGGTAATTTCCTCGGCTCCTCAGCTCCATCTAGTGGCCATAAGGGGGAATTTTCCTGCTATTACATTTGACTGGGAAAGAACATACACTAATAACATCCCCCCCATTTCCACAGAACGCATTCACATGCAAGAAAATTGGCTCCCCAAAATTCAAATAAGAATATATATGCCTCTTCTAAAAGACCCAGCATAAAATGTCCTGTTATAACATCAGCATTGTATTGAATACATATTAGAGTTGTTATTGATAATGCGATCAAAGCTTACTTGAAAAAAATCCCTTTTATGTAGTGAGTGCTGCCTTCGGTCTGTCCATCAACTTCATTCTGTCTTTCCATCAACTTCTCTTTCCCTGCTGCTTGATGTGATGCAATCTCCATTTCTCAAGGTTACATATCCCATAATGCATTGCTTCCAGCTAGCAATGACAATGTTGCATTCTTTAGTCTAGCCATTTTCTTGGCCGTTATAGCGGTGCATAAGTGATTTCTCTCCTCCCCGCTGGGACACAGAGCGGTCACAGAATGCCAAGTGGTGCGGGAGGAGAGCGCTGTGGGCAGCCGGCGTCTCTCCTCCCCGCATCCCTCAGCCTCCTGTCACAGATCAGGAGAGTGGTGTGCCAGCGCTATCACAGGAGGCTGAGCTCTCCTCCCGCACCACCCCTGCCCAGCCTCCTGTGACAGCCAATCCAGGATGGAGAGCGGTGGTGTGGGTGGAGACAGCTGTCATTGCTGTCACAGGAGGCTGAGCTCTTCTCCCGCAACGCTCGCTCAGCCTCCTGTGACAGCTTGTCAGGATGGAGAGCGAGGTACAAACATTCAGCGATCAGTGAGTGTTTGCGATCCTCTATACTGAACAGGAACACTCAGAGGTTTCCTGTTCATTGATAACAGGAGCTGCAGGGGCTGCAAAAAAAGAGATTGAGGACTTTGTGTTCTCAATCTCTTTTTCTATTTTAAAAGGGAAATATCAGGGGTCTGTTTAGACCCCCAATATTTCCCCAAAGCCCCTAAAAGTATAGTAAAAAAAAAACTAATAAAAATTAATAAATAAATACAAAATAAAATATAAAAAAGTTAAAAAGTTTATAAAAAATAAATAAAAATAAAATATTTGAAAAAATTTGAAAAAGTTAGAATAAAAAATATTTTCGGTTTTTGGACTGACATTTTTTTTCATTTCGGTTTTGAAATGTTCAATTTGGTGCACCTCTAGTTCAGTCATTAAGTTGTAGTTCAGACAGCAGCCTCTATAAGAGTGGTGACACAAGGAAGTGCATATTCACAGAGCTGAGTGACATTGTGTCAGTGCATTGAGTACATCAAAGTACATCTTCAATAAGTAAGTTTACAAATCAATATGGTTATTAGGAGTGGGATAGACCTTATATAAATACATATTTATTTTTAGATTTTGACCATAGATACCCTTTAAGACATTAACCTAAATGATTGGATCAAACGGTTAATCATACTAGTTTTACAGGATGCAGGACTTGTTGTCCAGTCTAGCACAGGATCACAATAATGACCAAACAGAATTGCAAACCTGTTGGGATCTATGTATTTTGAATTCGGTAAGGTAATTACATTTGTATGTTTTTATTTTCAAATGTTTAAATGATTTTTTTTTAAGTGTAAAATGTAATGCAGGAAAACCAATAACTAATAAAACCTTACCGATTACTTATGTAGAAGACAAAATTCCTGAACTTTCCAGTGTCCAAACTTTGATGGGTGAAAGGGTTAATGGAGCTGCCAGGCTGGACATGCGCAGTAGCGCCCTCTGGTGTCATGTATCCAGATCGCACAGAGTTGGTTGGCAGCTTTCCTGCCCTGATTAGAAGGCCAGTGCAGGCTGGAGCTCGGGGGACGATGGAGTCCGTGCATGTTATATGAGATCCCCCCACATGATCTGACTGCTTGCCGCACAAGGAGATCGCCCTTCCCCCGGCTCTCCTCCAGCAGCGGCAGGAGGAGGAGGAGGAGGTTGTGTGCAGGACAGGAAAGAGGTTGGGAGGAGGGAAGGAGCCATGGAGGGGATCTCAGCCCTGGAGAAGAATGTGGCCGAGTTGACGGTCATGGATGTGTATGACATCGCCTCTGCGGTGGGCCAGGAGTTTGAGAGAGTCATTGACCAGTATGGCTGCGAGGCCATAGGCAGGCTGATGCCCAAAGTGGTGAGGGTCCTGGAAATCCTGGAAGTCCTGGTCAGTAGAAACATCAACCCAGAAATGGAAGAGCTCAGACTGGAGCTGGACAGGCTGAGACTGGAGCGGATGGACAGGATAGAGAAGGAGAAGAAGCATCAGAAGGTGAGGACAGAGGAAACTCTCATAACTCGAAATCACAGGAGAGCTCAGCTTCCCAGACTCCTGACAGGATGGTGCCAGCTCCCCAGGGGTAGGGAATGGCATGCTGTCACACACTGACATTGTTCTTCTCTGTAGTCACAGGGTGCTGGCACAATGACATCATGACTTCTTGTTGACTTACACTAAAACCCCCTCCCTAGTCACAGTTAAGGCTGGATCAGACACTGTGCAGTACAATGGTGACTTCTGATTGTCATCTTCTCTATTCCTGTCATCATAGAGTTCAGGCTGGATCAGACACTGTGCAGTACAATGGTGACTTCTGATTGTCATCTTCTCTATTCCTGTCATCATAGAGTTCAGGCTGGATCAGACACTGTGCAGTACAATGGTGACTTCTGATTTGTCATCTTCTCTGTCCCTGTCATCATAGAGTTCAGGTTGGATCAGACACTGTGCAGTACAATGGTGACTTCTGATTGTCATCTTCTCTATTCCTGTCATCATAGAGTTCAGCCTGGATCAGACACTGTGCAGTACAATGGTGACTTCTGATTGTCATCTTCTCTATTCCTGTCATCATAGAGTTCAGCCTGGATCAGACACTGTGCTGTACAATATCACCATAGCGTCCGATTGTCATCTTCTCCATTGCTGTGATCATAGAGTACAGGCTTAATCAGACACTGTGCAGTATAATTACATCATAACTTCTGATTGTCATCTTCTCCATTGCTGTAATTAGACATCAATGGGAATATTTATGAAGCATTGAATGTGACTTTTACCAAACATTAGCTAGTGGTGAATCAATCCCTGTCATTTAAAACACATGTACTGTACCTAGAAGATTTACTTGTGCTGAATGTTTAGTGCATGACAGATTCTCTGCTTTGTAAATATGCCCCCTAACTTACAGTACAATGACACCCTAAGGCATCATGCACTAACATTGTTCTCCAGTGCTGTATTTATAGAGCTCAGACATTGTAAAATTTAGTTCAATGACACTATATTGTCTTCTTATACAGCATCATTGTTCTCTTCTTGCTGTATTCATACACTAACATCGGTCCCCCTTGCTGTGTTCATAGAGCTCAGGCTGGATCAGACATTGTACAGTACAATGACACCATAACTTCTGGTTGTCATCTTTCCCCTTGCTGTATTCATAGATTTCAGGCTGCTCAGACCCTGTAAAGGCCGTGGGCCACATGCCACCCTTTTGGCACCTATGGTGCGGCCCTCACGGACCTTGCAGAAAGTGGTCCTTGTTTCCTTAGCTAGGCTCTTACTCAGGCCAGGGAAACAACATCATTTTTTAGACTGGGTGCTAGTAGTTAAAGGAGAACTATGAGGTGAGTGCTTTTCACTCACCTCATAGTTCTAGCCGACCTGTGACAATGAGACTGTCACAGGTCGGCTCAGTAGATCGGGAGGTGAGCGAACACATACCGGCGTTCGCTCACCTCTCGATCCTGTCACAGCTCTCTGCCGTGACAGGGGAGGGGCTGGATTCCCCCCTCCCCGCTCCGATCCGCCAGCGCTGACTGGCGGAACGGACGGGGGAAGGGGCGGGTACAGCTGGCTCTGCCTCCAGATAGGCAGAGCCAGCTGTCAGTCACGCAGCTGGGCGGATCCAGACATAATTGTCGGGATCCGCTTCGGCGTCTCAGCATACCGCGAGCAGCAGCTCGCGGTATACTGAGCTTAGGGTGACGGGAGGGCGCTAGTTTGTGTCCTCCCATTACCCTAAGGGGAACTATGGGGAAAAGCCTTAACCCCCATAGTTCTCCTTTAACTGGCCAGATTTCTTTCTTTCACACGGACTTCCTCGTTTCTGTGTCCATCATTTTCCTCTTGATTTTTTCCCTCTAATCTTTTATAATGGATCTGAATGGAGGAGAAATAAATATTTTTAATGGGGCGTTAAGGAGCACTGAAGTGTAAGCAATGACATATAAAGGGTTTGTAATATCAGTGATCTTGAGCAGTCTCATATGATGTGTCTCCTGACTATGTGTCTATGACTGTCTCTAAAAACTCCTATAGCATCTTTTCAGTCTCTGACCATTTCCTGGTGCATGTCTGCAGCCTGTGACAGCTTTCTGTAGCATTACATTCACTAAGTATATTGTGTGGCTCTTTGGTGATGATAGGGGTTGCAGTTGGGGCTCTCTTTATCAAGAAAGTTGTCCACCACTTCTATGATGTGTGGCAGAAGGACGCCATGATGTCTTATTATACACTAACATTGCTTTCCACTGTTGTGGTAATAGAGTTTAAACATTGTGACGTGTAGTACAATGACACCATGACTTGTGACGGGCTCAGCCTACTCATCTTCATTACAGATCCTGCACTTGTTGCTCACAATCAGCAGTTTTCATAAGTTTACAACACACAGTAATCCAGCTGGGATTTGTCTCATACAGTACAGTTCCCATTTGATTTTTCATTGTCCTGTGAGAATGAATCCAGTTGGGTAGCTTTTAGGCTGGTCATAAAACATGTGTTTCTCACTTTAGTCACATAGAGGGGAATTTATAAAATCTGGAGCAGCTGTGCATAACAACCAATCAGCTTCAATTGTTCATTTTCAAATCTTAAAGGAACAATCTGAAGAGAGAAAACAGGTTACTATTGGCAACTGCTTCAGATTCTGTCTGCTCCAGTTTTAATAGATTCCTTCCATAATTTATTACAAAAATCAACAACAATCAGCAATCCTGACAACCTGGTGAATCAAATTTTTTCAGCTGGCTTGACAATCTTTTCAATCCAAATATTTTGATTAAATTATGATCTGGTGGAGGTCTTGGAGTCCCTTGGGTCTATGGGTATCCTTTCATGTGGTTTACAGTATTTGGGAGCACTAATCTATTTGAAATCAGTTAGTAGAACACCATATATTATATAATGAAACAGAAGCAGTCATCTGGGATGGACAGCCTAGCATAGGCAACCTTGGCTCTCCAGCTGTGCTGAAACTACAAATCACATAAGGCATTGCAAGCCACAGGCATGACTTCCAGAGACAGAAGCATGATGGGATTTGTAGTTTCAGCACAGCTGGAGAGCCAAGGTTGCCTACCCCTGCGCAGCATCAGATAAAACTCCAGCATGGTACATATATCTAGATCCATGTGGAAGAGTGAATATTATTTCGGAATGATGGTTGTTTTTTGCAGGATCGGGATGGTGATGCACAACTTAAAGTGAAATTCCACTTTGAAAAAAATAAATAAATGCAAACTTCATTAAAAAATTTAATGTTATTCTATTTTTTTTTGTTTAATTGGAGCCAGTAAAGCATTGCCACCATGATCAGTGGATTACGGGTTCAACGCTCTGGCTCCTGCATACTGTCTCCTGTCCATATCTGTATTTTAAGAACCCCAAAATTCAGGTAAGGGGAGTTGCAATGTGCTCATGTTTCACATGATCGGTGTAACATGAAACATGCCCAGAAAGTAAAGTTAGCCTTTAATAAATGCAATTACTGCAAGAGTTTTCAATAGGGATGCACTGTTAACGGTTTTTCAGTATCGAGTACCAATATTTTTTCTATCGGTACTTACCGATACCGGAAGTCCCATCAAGGAAGCCAGGCAGCGTGTAATGACTCGCCACCTGGCTTCTTGATTAGCTGGGAAGGGGCTCCGTGCTCCCTTGACTCCACAGGGCCAATCAGGAAGCTAGGGGACGGATAATGGCTCACCGCCCAGCTTCCCAACCAATCAGGAAGCCGTGCGACTAGTCATTACACTCCAGCTGGCTTCCCGGCCAATCAGGAAGCTGGGGGGTGAGTCATTTGGCTTAGGTAGCAGTGACAGGGTTTCTAACTTTACCCCATTCTATCGAAACAAAAAGAAAAAAACTATTTTGGGAATAGAATAGAGCTGCACCCAACTAATCAATTTAGAAAGTAGTTGTAAACTATTCTCATTATTGATTAGTTGGTTGGATCCTCTAGTTCTTGCCTCCATGCTGGGAGGAGGGCACAGCAAGCAGTGGGCGGGTGCAAGAGTCAGCCTGCTATTGGCTATTGCAATTTGAAATGGCCAATAGCAGGCTGGCTATTGCACCAGCCCACTACCTGATGTATTTACACTCAGCTGCTGTCTGCAGAATCTTGCCACTGGCAGCTGTCATTTCCTGGCTGAAGCGTTTCATGTGCTTAAAATACAATTATAAAAAAAATGTAAAAATTATATGAGGTGGAAAAAAGTCCTTTTGGGTTTCGGCCTGACAAATTCTGCTGCGGGAGGTGCGTTGCAGTGCCATTCATTTCAATGGCACCCCAAATGCGCCTCCCACTCACACTGTGATCGCCCGCACTGGAACGCACGGTGCCGCAATGCCATGTGTTCCATTGGAGTGCGATTGCAAAAAAATGCAGTTTTATTCTAAAGTAAACTTTATGTTTGTAACACTGCCTCTGTGTATTTTATTATAAATTAAGGATGGTATTTATTTAATGTTTTTTTTTTATCCAATCAATGGAAAAAATAACCCGCCAACTAATCGATTCTGAAAATGATCATTTAGTTGCAGCCCTAGTATAGAACCACTTTTAAATAGTTTACCCAAGTGCAAAATAAAAGGATGGTGTGAACTGGGCATATTTAAAGCAACGCAATTTGCCTTGTCTGTGCATTGCTGGAAAAAAACAGCCAACACAACCCAAACTCACCCGGTGTAAACAGGCCCTTACATCACCACTTTCTACAGCTCTTATTACTTCACTTACTGTGAAGACACTCGCGGCCTTATTTTTGGGTGTGTGGGATTATGGGAATTTACTGCAAGGATACATCTTTCATTGTAGAGCACTGTAATTATGAGTATTACATTTACCTCAGTTCTTTCAATCCAGTGATCTTTGGTTCAGAACTTCAGGAGGTGCATGTTTAAGCTTGTAAAACACCCAACAATAGTTGTCCTCACCTGCTTCCCACACCATCCAGACATGTTCTCATCTTTAATAATTGTTTCATAGATACATAATTGGACTAAATGGTGTTTGTGTTCGGAATCCATTTGCCATAAGGGCAAGTAACCCAATACTGACCTGAGGTGTGCCTTGATCCGGATGGACAGTATGCCAATGAGGGGGCATACTCTGTGAAATCTTTGAATGAAGGGACCGGGTGGGCGGGTCATGCTGACGAAAGCCATGCCCAGGTGAGTCTACCTGCCCATTTTATGTGCGAGAGGAGGGAACGGACTCCTCCCACAAATACAGGCTAATCAATTAGCCTTCAAATTTGTGTTCGGAATCCATTTGCCATAAGGGCAAGTAACCCAATACTGACCTGAGGTGTGCCTTGATCCGGATGGACAGTATGCCAATGAGGGGGCAAAAACCAACCATTCTTACCCCATTCTTCAACCATATCTTTATATTTGACTAGGTCCATACTGGGCAAAGTAAAAGGCCTACTACTTTACTATAGGGACCCCTGAGGGCCTTTACTTAATTTACCCTGATGGGCCATTAGATCACCCATTATTTCCGTGTTAGTCTCTATGTTCTTGTTAAAACGTGAACAGGGCTACGCACATCGTAAATACTTATCTGTCCTACTGCCTGTGTCACCGACCTTCATGAAGAATGTTCGGTTTCCAACACACTTCTGAATGTGTCGGTTGTCTGGTTCTATGCTGTGGTTCTTCCTGACAGCTCCTACACCTTCTATGTCCCATGGTGGCATAGGGGCTGACAAATGAAACCACAATACATGCCGGTGGTATTTTATCAGATGTTCAAGATTTCACCTGAGGCCATAGCTTTTGAAAGAAGTGAATTTAAGACATTTTGTTTTTTTTGCCGGGGTCAGTTTTTGCATTTATTTTTTTTTGGATGATGGAGTCATGACAGTACAGTGAACATGTTGCCTTGTCCTGTATAAGTAATACAATAGGTTATATTTTATTTTATATTGACAAGGTATCTGGAGTGAAGTACAATTTTACACGGCATCTAACCAGAGTTTTTTTTTCTAGACTAGATAGAGACAATGTGGTTGTTTTGGACACTGGACAATATACCTATATAGACACACATGAGGTCCATTGTAAAAAGAATTGTATCAGTAATGGGATGATAATCTTTCAGGAGCTTGAACTGGTAGAAGATGTGTGGAGAGGCGAAGCACAGGACCTCCTGGGTCAAATAGCGCAACTACAAGAGGAAAACAAACAGCTTCTATCAAACCTGTCCTCCAAAGATGTCACTTTAACCGAGGAGGAGTTTCAGAAGCATGAAGGTAAGCATCACTGGTGTTATTGACTTTCTGAATTATGCCTCACTTAAAGGTCAGTCCACCTGTAAGTGACATTTAAAGCTAAACACCAGGGAAAAAAGGATAATTTACACACCGCACTGAACTCCGGGCAAACCTTTTCTTAACTTTTGCAGTGAGGCTACCAAACCTGGAAGCCTGCCAGCTGTTACAGCACTCCCTGCAGCCTCTCTTCTCCGCTGCAGCGATGGTATGTCTTTCGGCATCCTCACATCCTATACACAGTTTATAGAATGTGATGACTCAGGGAACTTAGACCGCTGCAGCAGTGGTATGTCCCTCGGCGTCCTCACATCCTATACACAGTTTATAGAACCATGATGACTCAGGGACCTTAGACCGCTGCAGCAGTGGTATGTCCCTCGGCATCCTCACATCCAATACACAGTTTATAGAACCATGATGACTCAGGGACCTTAGACCGCTGCTGCAGTGGTATGTCCCTCGGCATCCTCACATCCTATAGACAGTTTATAGAATGTGATGACTCAGGGACCTTGGAGCGCTGCAGCAGTGGTATGTCCCTCGACATCCTCGCATCCTATACACAGTTTGTAGAATGTGATGATTCAGGGACCTTGGACCGCTGAAGAAGGGGGGGGGGAGAGAGGCTGGAAGGAAGACCAAGCCAGCTCCAAGGATTGGGTGAGTATAATTTTTATTTTTGCACCTTGCAGTGTGGAGGTAGCCCCACTACAAGGGTTAAGAAAAAGTTTGCCCGAAGTTCTGCTTTAAAAAGCTGTGTGTTATATGTGGAGGGCTGAAGCAAAGTACACATAATGCTGAGCTTCCAGGCACTGTGGGGAGTGAGGGATGCAACTCAAGCAGCGAAGTGCTCCCATTGCATTACCTGCCCCTCCTCACTAGTTCCCCGTTTACAAAATGTCTTGCATTATTTTTCAAAGAATACAAGGTGTTATGTGATTGAAGTAGGAGAGATGATGTCACATCAACGCCCCCTCCTCTACTCTTCCAATCACAGAATGCCTTGTATTCTTGATAAAAATACAAGGCAAGTAGTGAGGATGGGAAGGTGACGTGACTGGAGCTCTGCTCCACTGCTCAAGCCACATCCCTCACTCCCTGCAGTGCGTTGTGTGTAGGAGATGCAATGCTGCAAGGTAAAATGTTCATACTTTGCAGCAGCCCTCCTCACATAACACACAGAGTTTTAATAATAAATTACCCAACAAGTGCATTGTGCATTTTTTCCTGGTGTTTGGCTTTAAGTTATAGAGTGGTGCATAATGGTCCTAATAAGTCCCTATATATCTTGGCTACCACAGCATTGAGCTCTACCTGCCATCATTCCTGACCCTGGTTTTCTGACAGTGTTGGGTGTTTACGCTCAGCTTCGTGTCATCCTGCATCTCCTGTGCCATTCTTTGTATTCTAAAAGTAAAAATTCCCCTTATCCCACAGCCAGTGTCAGGTCCAGGAACTTAAGTACAGATATCTTACTAGCTGAGTGCCCAGAAAACATAAGAACGTCATAGGCATTCTGTCCTTCTGACTAGGACTGGATGGTTTTGGGGATATTTATGAAATAGTTTGCAGCCAAAATTACTGGAAAATTTAGCATGTTCAGGCACATGAAAGAGGGTTATAACTAGGGATGCACTGAAATTTCGGCCGCCGCAACATGTCGACCGAAAATGGCACTTTTTGCAAAATGTCGAAAGTGCCATCTTTCGGCCGAAATAGCGGTGCATCCCTGGTTTCTCTCCTCTGCAGCGTCCAGCTGGGAGGAGAGAAACTGCCACAGGAGGCCAAGTGGTGTGGGAGAGGAGAGCGATGTGAACGGCAGGCGTCTCTCCTCCCCTGCACTGCTCAGCCTCCTGTGACAGATTAGGAGAGCGGTGTGTGGGAACGGAGACAGTTGTGATTGCTGTCACAGGAGGCCAGGCTGGCAGTGCGGGGGAGGAGTCAGCTGTCAGAGGAGATCGAGCTCTCCTCCCTGCACTGCTCGCTTAGCCTCCTGTGACAGCGAGTCAGGATGGGGAGCGGGTACAAGCAGTCAGTGATCGCTGAGTGTTTGTAAATAATTGAGGACATAGTATTTTTACTGTGTCCCCAATTATGAATGAATGGGAAGTGATCTACATCACTTCCTGTACATTCATGATTGTGGATATAGTAAACATTCATGATTGTGGATATAGTAAACAGTGTTATGTCATGTTATGAATGAACAGGAACACTCAGTATAGGGGATTCTTGTTCATTTAGAACAGAGGCTGCAGAAATGGAGAAATAGAGATTGAGGGCTCTCTGTCCTCAGTCTCTTTCTTTTCTTTAAAGGGAAATATCAGGAGTCTGTTTAGACCCCTAATATTTCCCTGAAGCCCCCAACAGTAAAATAAATAATAAAAAATCAAAACACAACCCCACACACATTATACACGTGCAAGAGTGTGCACCATATTGTGGTGTACGCCATGCACGTGCACTGTGGTGCGTTGTTAGATTTTTTTTTCTTCAAATAACATTAATTTAATTGTGTGGCAGTGCATGGCAAAGCGTTGTGATGCATTGCTGTGCATTCTGATACGCTGTGTTGCAATTAAGAGCCCATTCACACCAGGGCGGTTGCGGATCAGCGCGATTACTGCGCTGATTTCAAAAGGGAGGTTTTAAGAGTTTTTTATCGCGTTTCAGCGCAAAACTGCGCTGATCAGCATGGTTCCATTAAAAGCTGTATGAAAACCGCACTGATCAGCACGGCAAAAATATCGCAAAGAGCAGTTTGGACGGGGGTGCAGTTCGGATCACGCATGAAGGGTCCTCATAGCAATGTATGGGATCGTACATGTCGGCGGATCCGCGCGGCCGAGCCGCCCTGGTGTGAACGGGGCCAAATACTGTATTTTATCACAGCACACACCAACAAACGATTTTCAACATAAGTCGCTTATTTACAGTTTTGCGTTACTTAATGTTTTTACTGTTTCACAAAAATGTACAAATATTTGGTATTTATTACCTCAATACAGTTTTATCTTTAGATTTAGTCAGAAAAGTATTTTTTGTGTGCAATGATACTGATTTTAGTGTGCTTTTATCAATTGAATTGTGTATTTTGAACTGTTTAATATTGATTTGATAAACATTTGCGTAATTATCGCAGGACCTACAAAATTAGTAGCACCATCTTTTTATTCTACTGGGCCTGCGCTTTCAGAAAATCTATGGTTTGGGGGGTCCTTTACAAACGCTAGCAACGCAGCAGCAGAAAATCAAAACAATGGGAAAAATTGCCAGCTGAGGTTAAAAGCATTCCCAAGGGCTTGGCAGCGAAAGGATTAAAACATGCACTCAACTTTCTTGCAGCATGTTCTGTGAAGTAATTCATTCCCAAAGGTCCTAAACGACCGCAACAAATACTCTGAACTTTCAGCAGGTTTCCAAAAGCTTATAAACACCCGCTGTTTGTGTACATTAGAGGGCTGGCTGTCTACTAAGATCTGATTTCCTGGAAAAAGCTGAGATATCAGTGCTTTGGTTGTGAATTTTCAAAATGAATTTCTCTACAATGCCTATAGTTACAGATGTACATGCCATGTTTTACAGTGCTTTAGCTGCTTTTATCATAAAATGGAAGTACTTTAGTGTGCATAGTCTGGGTACAGGTTTATTGTAAGTTGAATAGCCTAATTTAAAGGAGAAATATGACATGAGTGATTTCCACTCACCTCATAGTTCTAAGCCGACCTGTGACAATGAGACTGTCACAGGTCGGTTCAGTAGATCTGGAGGTGAGAGAACACATACCGGGTTCCCTCACCTCTCGATCCTGTCACGGCTCTCTGCCGTGACAGGGGGAGGGGCTGGATTCCCCTCTCTCCGCTCCAAACTGCCAGCGCTGACTGGCGGAACGGACGGGGGAGGGGGCGGGTACAGCTGACTCTGCTTCTAGATAGGCAGAGCCAGCTGTCACGCAGCTGGGCGGATCCCGTCATTTAAGTCGGGATCCGCTCCAGGTGCGGCGTCTCAGTATACCGCGAGCTGTAGCTCGCAGTATACTGAGCTTAGGGTAACGGGAGGACGCTAGTTTGTGTCCTCCCGTTACCCCAAGGAGAACTATGGGGAAAAACACTGACCCCATAGTTCTCCTTTAACTATATCGGGTTATTCGATTTGTAATGGCCTTGGTTTGGGGCAGGAGGGTTATAATTCCTAACCAGATGATCCCCCTGCAGCTGTTTTCAAAGGACCACTAGAAGCCAGTGTGTGTTTTTCATTTGCAGTCATCCATCCATATGCTTCAGGTTGGGTGCACTATAAAATACCATGTTTGTGCCTGAAAACCATACTTGTGCCATCCTTGTATTGGACTCATTCTGACTATTTTATATTTAGCTGCGCTTCTTTAAGTCTGTTCTAGACAGAAATACATCTCCACGTCTGTGTTTTTACTTAGAATAGAACAGCTTGGTTTGGAAATGGTGAAGCATGTTTGGCTGATGGGGAATACAGATGAGTCACCGATAGTGTTAGCAGGATGTCTGCTTTAGAACTCCTAAATGTCTGGCAGGTTGGAATTCACAATAGGATGGGAGTCATGTGGAGTCATGCTAAAATATGATATTTCATTTTTTTTTTCTATTTGCTGCGAATGCAAAAATCTGATGGGTTGGTGAAAACAAACACACAAAAATGAGTCAGGGTGGAAATTAAACCTGTACTAGTTGCAGAAATGTTACTTTTTCAGCGTCAACCTTTAGCTAAGATTTGAAGTCTATTTCTCATGTCTGCTGCTACAAATTTAGGGTATATTTAACTGCATTCAGCTAGGGCTGCAACAACTAATCAAATAAACCGATTATAATCTAAAATGAGAATCTTTGTTAATGATTCTCATTTTATTATATTGGAGTTTTACTATTCATATTATTTTAAATCCATGAAACTAATTTAAATGTCTAATATAATACATACAATTATTTTTGTTAAAAAGGGTGGGAAAAGTAATTTTTGGTTTCGGCCTGTCAAATTCTGCTGCAGGATGTGTGTTGTGGTGCCATTCATTTCAATGGCACCCTAAACGCGCCTCTCGCCTGCACTGGAAAGCACGGTACTGCAATGCCTTGCATTCCATTGCCATGCTTGCAAAAAATGTGCATGCTGTTTTATTCCGCAGTAAACTTTGCTTGTAACACTCCATTTGTGTGTTTCATGATGGTATTTGATTTTTTTTTTTCTTTAACTGTTTAATCGGAAAAAAAAATAATCGGCCAACGAATCGATTATGAAAATAATCGTTTGTTGCAGCCTTACATTCAGCTCATTGCGAGTGACTACCAACTGCTGCTTATAACTACAAGCTACAGTCCCAATATCTGCATGTGCCCTTATCTGTTCTGCCTAAGGCAGTGGGAACATGAGACCCAAACGGTGCAGATGACATTTGAGTCACACTACAACACCCTACCCTCCCAAACTTGAATTAAGAACATACTTCAGCTTTAAACAGAAAGCTTGTCAGATTTTTTTTTTTTTTAAGTTTCTTTCTTTAGTACAGCCTGGAAGCCAAACGAGAAACAGGAGGTAAACATTGCATTTCAACAAAAGATATTATACTATATCAGATGTCTCTCCCTCAATACTGAAGTTCAAGGATACGCAAGAACAGTCTCATTGTTATATATGCTGGTATTTTTTCTCTATTTATAAGAATGTGAGATGAGAAAGAAAGTAGGTGCTAGGAACTCCTTGCTTTTAGAGGTTAGATGGAGGAAAGGAGGACAGAACATGGAGCGAGAGAAGGATGTAGAGACTTTAGAAAGAGAGGAGTATGAAAAAAGGAAGGTAGGACCTTTCATTGCTTGTAGGAGGTCTTTTGTTTTCTGGACATAGTAAAGAAGTTCCAATAAAACTGGGTATTATGGAATGTTCTGTAGTTGAATCCCTCACACATGACCCTTATCAAGAGCTGATTGTCCCAAGCAATGCTTGCTCATTTTACATTGCTTATAATTTTAGGCTGGATTTACACTGTTGCGGTGTGTTATCGCGTGTTATGCCACATGTTACCATGCATTGTGTTAATTTGAATGGGCTGCCTAATGCACCAATATGCACATTCTTACATTGCCAAGCCAATAAATACAGCATTGCTATCAGAAACGTATACTTGCAGGTACCTCTCTGGTGTAATATCATAGACGACACAAACACTGCACTATTGAGAATTTGGCTTAATATGCTCTTGGTTTAGATGACAGGACTGCCTAAAATTATTCTTGCAATCTCCAAAGATAAACTTGTTCAGAGTGCTATTTTACAATGTTGCAATCGTCAAGGAACACATTTTGCAAGTGTGTTTACTTTTCCCAGACTTGGAGTGTTATTACTGCCTCTGCAGACCAATTTAGAAATGTACTGTGAGATGAAGAATATGGATTAATAGTATCCCAATGCACCTAGCCATCGCATGTGCATTGTATTGCACCACATGACATCGTAACCACATTACTATTACAATGCGATGTGGTGCAATGCGATTTAAAAACAAGTGCATGACCTTCTTTTAGTGTGATTTAGCTGTGGTAGGCAGTCCATTAAAATAAATGGGCTGCCTACCGCAGTGCACCCTGCAGCATGTGTGAACAAGGACTTGTGGTGTCAAACATCTACAACCTACCAAGTAGCTAGAGACCAGGGGGGAATTAATGAAAAGTCTGAGACAAACTTCTCAACTTTGTCTCAATTGGAGCTCAGCAAATCCACTTTTACATTTTTATGTTCTAAGATTTGTGGAAGAAATAAATGTTAGATTGGTTGCTTTGGGTCAGCTGAGACAGAACTTGTCTCAGACACTTCTTATCCTTGTATGTTACCTATGTTCGAAGGATGTAAGTGATTAAAACAAAACCCAAAACTTTTTATGCAGAATTAAAATTACCTTTGATAATGTAAAGGTGTCTTTTTGTTGTAGACAGACAATATTTCACTTTTGCACACTTAATGACCTACAACCGCCATAAAAGCCTCTTCACAATAGACAGTCCACTAAAGTGGAGCGTTTTGGTGGGCAGGCTACTGCGTTGTGACAACATTGTGGCGGAGCTGTCACTGTTAACATTTTTTTTTTTTTTTACTTTTTGGTAGTGTACAATGTGTACACTCCATTTCAGGTCCCTGCATCTTTTCTTTTTTTCCATAGTGGTGTTTTGCATTTTTGCTTGTGCAGAAAAATGCATGTCACCACTATAGTGTAAACAGGTCCTAAAAGAAATGCATTGCAAGTCTCCAGATCAACGTGCTATGCAAAAGTGCTGTACACTTGCAGAGCTCTTGCTAAGACCTGCAGGACTCTTGCTGTAGACTTGCCAAGCAAATATGCTACAATTTCAAAAATTTTAAACTAGAACTTGTGCTGCAAGTGTTCTGCAACCTGCCGGGAATGTGTGCAGCAAGTTAACAAGAATTACAATGTAACCCTGCCACAAGGTTGTGGCAAGTTATCATTGCTATCTGGGTAGGCTAATCTTTCCTTTGGAAAAATTATTATTATTGCGATATAGGATTTGTATAGTGCCAACAGGTTGCACAGCACTTTACAATATAAGACATTACAGTTACAAATCAAGACAAGATGGTAAGGAGGGCCCTGCCTGTGTGAGCTTACGATCTAAACATGCTAAAATGCTAATTGTCTGGCCGTAATGGTAACCATATGGCTTTAATATTTTTGAATCGCAGATCCAGAACAAGTATGGAGATCAGAAGTTTTGACTTCATTGACTTCATGCTTGTGTTCTGGGTCAGTGATTTTGACAGCATTGTAACCAGATAGGGCAAGCAATTAGCATTTTTAGAAGGTGGTCAGCAATGGCTGCTTTATATTTGACTTATTACATTTTCTTTCCTTATTCTAGGCATGTCTGAGCGAGAAAGGCAAGTGATGAAAAAGTTAAAAGAAGTGGTGGATAAACAGAGAGATGAAATACGAGCAAAAGACAGGGAGCTTGTACTTAAGAACGAGGATGTAGAAGCGGTGAGTAGTGGAACATTTCCTGTAATTAGGAAGAGAGGGGCCAGAGCTTCATAAAAGCCTAAATAGGTAATTGACAAGAAAATAAACAAATGTCTACTTTTTACGGCTCATGCAAAGGTCTATAATATATGTTGCACTTTTATCAGCGCTGCATTTTTTCTTTATAGGAGAACTATGAGGTGAGTGTTTTTCACAACCTGTGACAATAAGACTGTCACAGGTCGGCTCAGTAGATCGGGAAGTGAGCGAACACATACCGGCGTTCGCTCACTTCTCGATCCTGTCACCACTCTCTCCCGTGACAGGAGAGTGGCTGGATTCCCCCCTCCCCGCATCGATCCTCCAGCGCTGACTGGCGGAACAGACAGGGGAGGGGGCGGGTACAGCTGGCTCTGCCTCTAGATAGGCAGAGCCAGCTGTCACTCACGCAGCTGGGCGGATCCAGACATAATTGTTGGATCCGCTTCAGCTGCGGCGTCTCAGTATAGTGAGCTTAGGGTGACGGGAGGACGCTAGTTTATGTCCTCCCGTTACCCTAAGGAGAACTATGGGGACAAGCCCTAACCCCATAGTTCTCCTTTAAGGATCTGAACACAGTACATTATCTTCTCTAGGCCCATGCACATCGTATGTAAAAATCAGAAAACTTGCACTGTTTTCAGATCTGTAAAATCAAAAGGGAAATGCTTGCATCTGAAGTTCTGCGTATAGACTTTATTTTACGCTGTATGCATGTAAATGTTTGTGCTAATATTTACATGCATACACCGCACAGCACAATGAACTCTTCAGTGCAAATGCAAAAGTTGCCTAATGTTGTTCGTTGCTAGAATGCACGTGCCTCCTTGCTGCCTAGAGTCCTTTGTTGCTAGGATGCAGGAAGCTTGAGCTTCCTAGTGTTCCTAGCGATCCTCCACAGTGTTTCCTAAAAAGCATCATCAGGTCTCTGATTTTACGTGTTGCCTGGGCTTGTTATATAGTAGATCTTTCCTCTGTTCCTACAGTTGCAGCAACAGCAGAGCCGACTCATGAAGATTAACCATGACTTACGACACCGCATCACAGTGGTGGAGGCACAAGGGAAGTCACTGATAGAACAGAAGGTGGAGCTGGAAGCATATCTCCAAACGAAGGAACAAGAGGCCACTACCATGAAACTGGAAATTAGAAAGCTCAGAGAGAGATTGAAGGGAGAGCAGCTGCAGAATGGCGAAGAGAAAAAAGAGCAGGTAACTGTAGAACGCTTTATTATTTTCAATAGCATTCGTTTGTTATAGGAGATTCAGTTGCAGTATTAGCAGTGGCGCCCGGGGCAGAATTTTTTTTTTCGCCCC